TAAGTACATCGCATCACCATCTACACAAAGTTAATATTTTTAGGGCTTCTCGGACTTCTTTGGTGCTTGATTTGGGCCAGACGTGTCAGCGATTTTCCAGCTACAGATCCTCATATCAGTACCGATGAACTCACACTACTTCAACGTGATGCAGTTGGCCACACACATTACGTAAGTTTTTCCCAGTATTCATTGACGTCACCGCATGTGTTCCTTGGAAATCCCTTCGAACTGCGCCCTATCCTTGCACACTGCACTAGATGTGAAGTTGTTACACTGATCGGGCAGTGCACAACTGCTCGCCCTCTCCTCCCTCGCCGTTAGTGAAGAAATATGTGTGAGCAGGATGCCATTGGGTGACGTTTTAAACAGTGAAAATGTTGTTTTGGTTGTAGTGACGTGTTTGAAATGATTTATGGACAAGGAGCTGATGATATGTTATCTTTTTGCTTTTTCCAATCGGCGAAAATGACTTGGTGTAGGAGGTTAAGCTCCTTTCCTGTTCCAAATTTAGTTTATTTTTCCAAACTGCAACAAACAATGGGATTTGTTGTACATAGATTCAATCACCTTTGCCTTCTGATCTGGAAATAAGATATTGTGAATTCATTAATTTACTAGTAAAAAAAAGTTCATCTTTGTTTTAATTGCGCGAAGTTCTGCATTTTGGCGTTTTATATAAATGATCTGGTTCATTCTGAGCAATATATGAATTATACCCTTTAATCTGAACATAACACATAGATATCCGTCTGCATATAGGTTTGCTTAATATGCTAAAACTCGGGTTATCGTAATCAGAACTTCTAATAATTTCTGCTGACCTTTCAATTAAAGTCATCGTAGCTCAAAATTATGGATCAAACTCACCTGAAAGTCTGGCCTGATTGAGTTCATTTCAATGAATTATCGCTCAGAAATGAGGGATGTAATTAGATTAGGCGACAGAAATAGTAGTGGAATGCACTTTTGTTGTTATCCGCAGCGGTTCCCAAAAAAGAATTGGTAGATGATTCTGGGGGAAACATCTACATAACGAAGCTAACATATTCGGTATTGGTTTGAGTATAGTTCAAAAAAATCCTAGTTAAAAAACATTTTACTAGTCACAAATTGCTTATAATATCTTTGCAAGAGAAAAAAAAAGGTGATTCTTAGTACAACACTTAGTCTATTGGAATTATAGCAGCATGTGTGAAGCCCCAAATAATGACTAGTTTGAAGCGTTCTTTTTGAGCCAGCTATCGCGGATTTTTATGTTAAATGATTACAATTTGCGAGAATATTACATTGTTGCTCTGTACAAAACACAACATCTTTAAATTGATGGCTGTTTAATTTTGCCTGATACTACAATTCCATTGTTTCAAGGAGTTAGCGGAAACCGTGAACAATCATTCAGTCTTAATCGACTAGGGACAAACATTTTATATATAAAAAGTAGAAGAATTTACATACGCAAGTAGATAGACTACTTTAGTCTATAGCTGCCTTAGTTCAACAGGAATCCTAAACGAGCAAGGATCAGTGCTTGATGTTAGGAAATGTAGTAAAAGGAGAGTAAAGTTCATTAAATGAAAGCTTCCTGGAAAATAATCATTTGCGAAAGGGTCTCGATGAGCCTTAATGCACATCATAATGTCAAAGGAGCACATTTTAACGGCTTTCGATTATGAATCTTTGACTACTCTGCTCTAAAACCTATGGGAAGATCTATAAACTGATGTAATGCAAAAGATGTTTGGTTTCGTCCATGAAGCTAAAAAAAACTAAAGAAAATATGTGCTGGTATCGAAAAGGTGAAAAATTACAAAAATTCTTAGCTGTAATGATTTTAGATAAGGAGTATCTTGGAATATGGATGAAAGAATCCCTTCAGAATATTTAAGAATCTTCTATAACAAAAAAAAAAACGGAAAAAAATCACATTTTCATAAGCGCAATTCTTAAGATCATATTTAATTTCAAGTATTTTTTCCTCAAAAAAACTAGCTCCCCATTTTGACATGTGATAAATCATGAAGGTAGATCTTGCAGATTGTCCCATGGGTTGAGATGATCACGAGCAAGGCGGTATGGGCAGTGATGGTAGCACATTTTTGTGAAAACTGGGGTTTCTACACGATGCTTACGCATCTGCCCCGAATGCTCAAGGATCTTGCCAACTACGAACTTCAAAAGGTAAGCTTTTGGGTATCCTAAGGCTTGCTAATTTTCTGAAATTCTGCGAAGGTTTTTTAGTCCCTTAGCGTTTGCTTGCGCTAGGCTATTTGAGATCCTGATAGCACAGCTAGCTCCAGCTGCGCTATATGACGAGTGG